CTGGAGTGCAGTGGTGTGATCTCAGGTCACTACAACCTCCACCTCCCGGATTCAAGTGATTCTCCTGCCTCAGCCTCCCTAGTAGCTGGGACTACAGGTGCACGCCACCACACCCAGCTAATTTTTGTATTTTTAGTAGAGACAGGGTTTCACCATGTTGGCCAGGATGGTCTCGACTTGTTGACCTCCTGACCTACCTGCCTCGGCCTCCCAAAGTGCTGGGATTACAGGGTGAGCCACCATGCTTGGCCACGAATACTCAGGCCTTACATTCTTGGCATGCCAAGATGTTTCAGAGTGTGAGAGGCACACAGAGAAGTGTCTACCAACGCTCCCTTGCCACCATATGTAATTTGCTTTCCAGTACTCTGAGTCCTCCTCCCAATCTCTCATTCAGGCCTCTCTTCTCCACCCGCCTATCTACTTCCAGCTCCATTCTCAGCTCACAGTCTGCACCCTTTGCCTAGTGTACTGCAGTCACCCCCTAACTGGTTTCACTGCCTCTGTCCCTGCCGATCCATCCTCTATTCTGGTCCCAGAGAGATCTTTCTAAGATTCCGATTCTATTATGTGAAACCAATAGTAAAACCAATAGTAGGCTCCACTCCCAAGAGTAAATTCCAACACCCCCAGGCATAGCATTGAGGATCTTTCATGATCTGACCTCAGCCAACTTCCCAGCTCCATCCCTGCCACTGCTCCTTCACATCCGATGCCCAGGCCCAGTTCAGGGCCCCCAGGTGAACCCTGCTGTCCCACACCTCCATGCCTTTGCATGTGCTCTTGCCGTTGCCTCCTATCTGAGTCAATTCAAATGTCCTTTCCTCTGTGAAGCCTCCCGCTGCATCCTGCTTCCTTTTCTTTGCTCTCATCATTATTTACTGGCTTTCCCAGTCAACTCCCATGCATGAAGAGTTGAGATTCTGTCTTTTCTCTGTGTACCCCCAGGAACCTGGTTTGGTTCCTGAAGCATAAGAAATAGAGCCAGGGCTGGGCACAGTGGCTCACACTTGTAATCCCAGCACTTTGGGAGGCCAAGGCGAGTGGATCACCTGAGGTCAGGAGTTCAAGACCAGCCTGGCCAACATGGTGAAACCCCGTCTCTACTAAAAAATATAAAAATTAGTCAGGCGTCGTGATGCACCCCTGTAGTCCCAGCTTCTCGGGAGGCTGAGGCAGAAGAATCACTTGAACGCAGGAGGTGGAGGTTGCAGTGAGTCGAGATTGTGCCACTACACTCCAGTGCCTGGGCAACAGAGTGAGACTCTGTCTCAGAAAAAAAAAGAAAGAAAGAAAGAGAGAAAGAGAGAAAGAAGGGAGGGAAGGAAGGGAGGGAGGGAGGGAGGGAGGGAGGCAGGGAAATTGAATCAGAGTTCAGGTCTACTCCCTGGTACCTCTTTCATTGACTCTTGTCTTCCTGCCTCTTCATCTTTGTGTCCTTAGCCTGGATTTACCCCTCTGCCCCTCTAAACTCAACAGATGGGCTCATCCCTTGGCAAAGCTCTCATCCAGCCTGAACCCTCCTGCTCGGTACTTTCTATTTCTAGTCAAATCAGTTTCTACTGATGAGCAATTTTAGGAAAGGAACAGAAGGGCCAAGGTAGAGATTGGAATAGTGAGAAATAAAATGGAGAGAGACTGAAAAAGGAAAATGATAAAGGAAATGAGGAAAGAGGAAAAAGAACGAAAAAAAAAAAAATAGAGGGACCTGTAGAAACAAAAGGAAAGGCAGAGAAAGAGGGAGAGAAAGATTCAGCCTTCATCTAGCCGTGAACACCAAACAAATCTATTGAAAAAATTTTGGGAGGCAGGCACAGTGGCTCGCATCTGTAATCCCAGCACTTTGGGAGGGTGAGGCCAGTGGATTGCTTGAGGCCAAGAGTTTAAGACCAGCCTGCGCAACGTAGTGAGACCTCATCTTTATTTAAAAAAAAAAAAAAGTAAAATAAAATATTAGCCTGGCATGGTGGTGCATGCCTATGGTCCCAGCTACTTGGGAGGCTGAGGCAGGAGGATCACTTGAACCCAGGAGTTGGAGGTTGGGGTGAGCCACGATTGCACCACTGCACTCCAACCTGAGTGACAGAGACCCTGTCTCTGAAAAAAGAAAGAAAGAAAATCGTTTTTATCCAGCTCAACAGTAATTTACTCAGCACCTGTTTGCAATGCTTGAAACTCTCCCACAGTTTGTATAACAGCTTATCTGGTTCCCCTACCAAAACTTCGGGGTCTCATTTTGAAATCTGTCTTCCCATAGAATTGTGAAGGTTTTACACACATGTGAAAAAGTGACTTGAATTCAAATAGGCGTTCATTGGATTCCTTGATTTTCAGAAATTTTCTTCGAAAAATTATGAGTCTGGATCAATTTAGCAGCTGTGGAGAAGAAAAGTGTCTTAGGAGGCAAAAAATTTCCTGAATGCCTCTTGCAGTTCGATTTTTAGAGAAGCTGATTCTGAGATTAGCATGTAGAGTGTTGACTGGAGAGGACTTTCTGGATTAGCACCTGGGAAAGGAAGGAAATAAAAGGAAGAGAAAAGGGGCAGATGTGGGACAGAGGAAGAAGTTTGGCTGGAATGCAGTCTCAGTGAGGTCTCCGCTGACCCCATAGGACTCCCTGAGGCTGCCATGATGCTTCAGATTGGTTGTAAAGAAATACCTGAGGCTGGGTAATTTATAAAGAAAAGAGGTTTAACTGGCTCACACTTCTGCAGGCTGTACAGGAAGCACAATGGCATCTGCTTCTGGGGAGGCCTCAAGGAGCTTTCCATTGTGGCAGAGGGCAAAGCAGGAGGAGGCATCTTACGTGGCAGGAGCAGGAGGAAGAGTGAGACAGGGGAGGTCCCACACACTTTTAAACAGCCAGATCTCATGAGAACTTACTCCCGCTGATGACAGTGCAGGGAGATGGTGTTAAACCATGAGAAACCGCCCCCATGATCCAATCACCTCCCACCAGGCCCCACCTCCAACATAGGGAATTACAATTTTTTTTTTTTTTTTGAGACAGAATTTACTCTGTTGCCCAGGCTGGAGTGCAATGGCACGATCTAGGCTCACTGCAACCTCTGCCTCCCAGTTCAAGCGATTCTCCTGTCTCAGCCTCCTGAGTAGCTGGGATTGCAGGCGCCCACCACCACACCTGGCTAATTTTCATATTTTTAGTAGAAATGGAGTTTCACCATGGTGGCCAGGCTGATCTTGAACTCCTGTCCTCAGTGATCCACTGGCCTTGGCCTCCCAAAGTGCTAGGATTACAGGTGTGAGTCACGGCGCCCAGCCGGGGATTACAATTTGATACGAGATTTGGTGGGGACAGAAATCCAAACCACATCATTTGTCTTACATTGTGGCAAGGGGTAAGCGGGGAAGAGGGTCTGGTCTTTATACTTCCACACT